GACCATATTCTTTAAAATTTTATTAGTAAGTAAATTTAAAGACGAAGTCGAAATATATTGTAAGGTTGTTCCCTTTTATTTAATATACTATTAAAATTAACCTCGCGAAGGACCCTAAACTTATAAAAAAGGTTACGAAAATCGCAGTTAAGAATAGCGGTAAGGAGAGGGCTCTTGAGAAGGAGGAGAATACGTAATTATTTATTACAATTTAAAATTTTATTTATAGAGCGACTTTTTAAATTAGTAGGGTATATTAAATTAAGGACGAAATTTACTTTCTTAAAAACTTCATAATATTCAATTTTAGTAATTCTTTTTACGTATTTAATAAAATTATTCATTTCTTTTATTTTCATTATATTAATCCGGATAATCTTTCATAAATTAGCAATACTTAAGTAGCAATTGAAACGTTTAAAGAAATTAATATTATTATTAAAAGTAAGAACGGTCCTTTAACGCTACAGTTAAAGGAGGTTACTTTTTACCTTAATTTTACTATTAATTTCATTTCTTATTTCTAATTGCCAAAGTAAGATTTCTATTAGGACTACCGACTACTAAATAATTATTTAAAGAAATCTAATAACTTATTCTTTATTATTCAGATATTATTTATAATTAAACGGTTATTAAAATTATTTTATTTTTATTTATTAAAATGTCGTTCGTAACGCACAATTATAAAATTAATTCCTATATAAAACGCCCTTCTACATAATTAATAGAAGTATAATATTTACAATTCGGCTACCGGGGACCCTAAATAATCGATTACCTTTAGAACGTTAATAGAATTAAATTTACCAGTTAGAAATTACGTAGTATACTCTTAATTAAATATAATACGTACGCAATAGTAAAAGTTAAACGATAATTAATTGTATAATTAGAGACTGAAATTTTAGATCTAGAGAGAAACTCGTTATTAATTTCTTCGAATTTAATAAGGGAATTAACGGGGTTAAATACTTTCTCCTTATTACTTATCAATAATCTAAATATATTTAAGATTATTACTTATTAAATCGTTAAAGAATTATTATAATTACTAAGCTAATATTTTATATTAATATATTACAGTACCGATATAATATTAAAATTAAAATTTTTGAATACAATAACAAATTTATAAATAATAAAGCTAAATATGGATTGTTATAACGAGGAGTAAATTTTAAGCCCTCTACTCCTAATATATAAGTATAAAACGGTAGGGTAGAGTATTTAAGAGGTATTATTAAAGAAAGATATAATACTATATTAATGAATTTAAAATCTTTAATAGATTTATAGCCGGAAATTACTAGCGTAGTAATTTATTTGGTTAATTATTCCCTCTATTATTTATATAATTAGAAATTTTCCTTCCAACAGTTTTATATTTATATTATATAATAAAATAGTTAATAGGAAGTTTGTAAATTAAATTTAAATTATTTTAAAATTTATAATTATAAAATTTTCACTATAATAAGTATTATATAGAAGAAAAAGTAATAATATTAAAAGTATTTACCTAAAGTATAAATAGGGTTTTTTATTAATTATTTAACCACTTCTATTTATAATATATAGAATTTATATATAAATCGGATTATTTAAATTAGGGATATGATTTTTAACGAGGAAATTACTTATAATTTAAATTTTAAGAAATTAAAAAAAAAGCTTTTAAGTAAATAGCAAGGAATTAGCGGATTTATTTAATAAAATTAATAAATTATATAATTAACCTTCGAGGGTATCCGAACTATTAGAGAAAGAAAGTTATAAATTATAGAATAATATTAATAATATAAATATTAAACTATTCCCTTCGAACCTCCTTAATCGAAATTATAAATAGTATTAAGAAGATTCCTAAGAGGAAAGTAATTAATTATAAAAAATCGTTATTTAATAGCCTACTATAAAAAAGATATTTATTAAATATATTATAGGATTATATTTATTATTTCTATTTACTCCGCCGGCTATACTCTATACTAATTATTTAATTAACCGAACTATCAATAAGTACTTCCGTTAGTAAGAACTATAGGAAATTGCCTTTAACGTTAATAAATTATTATAATTAATAATTCAAATAAATAGGAAAATAATTATTAAAGCACAAGTATAACAGTTAATTACGAAATATAAACGCTTTAATAGGGTTTACAGACGGGATTTACTAATTATACTTAAATATTATAATAAAATCGACGAGGGCGTACTACAAGTAAAAGGTAAATAGATTTTCAATTATATATAAGTATATATTTATAAATTTAATAAGAACAATATATTTAATAAATATAAAGTAAAACCCGTTATAAGAGGTGACTAATAAAATAAGACGGGAGTAAATATATATACTTCTACCCTAGTAAAGAGGTTATTTAAATTTATTATCGTTCTAATTATTCGTTTCAACCTTAAATTTATTTAGTACCACGTAATCAATATTTTTATTAATATTTCCCTCGATAAGGAAATTTATATACATATACCGCCCGGGTATTAAATCCCTAGTCAAGTATTTAAATTAATTAAAGTATTATATAATTTTTAACGAATACTCTTATTATAGCAACGCAAACTTCATAAAGTATTTAAATTAATAGGACTTAAAGCAATCCTTGAAAATTCTTATATTATAAAAAAGAACAATATCTTAATACTTTATTACATCGATAATATCGTTTTTACATTTAATAAAAATAAAATAGAAGAAATTAAAACATATATAATAGAATTATAGTTAAAATATTATTTAATTGGAAGAGATAAGTTCTAATAGTTTTTGGGTATCGAAATCATATATAATCAAAATTAGGGATAGATTTAGTTATTTTAAAAAATATATATTAATAAAATTTTAAAATTATTTAAATTTAATTATCAATGTACTTTAATACTTATAGGCTACGAGGAATTAATCCTTTATAAGGGTATTACTAATTATATAGAGATACGTACTTACTAAATTAATATAGGATTATTATTATACGCGGTAATTAATATTCGATTAAATATTACCTTCTTATTAAATAGATTGGTTTGATATAATTATAATCTTAATTTTACTTATATAACCGTTAATAAGAAGGTTATATAATATTTTCAAATAATAAAAATATAGGGATTCTATTTTAGTAGTAGTAATAGATTTAAAATTATTTTTAATATTTCGTTTGTTAATAATAAGAGTGACCGTAAGAATTTATAAGGGTTTACTATTAAATTTTATAGTAGTTTAATTTATTAGGGAGTAACTAAATAAACTACGGTTACTACGTTAATAATAGAAGTAGAATTATATACAATTAAAAAGGTAATAAAGGAGACCCTCTTTATAAATTGGTTAATTTTAATTTTGGGGGTAAAATTATTAAAAGACCCCATCCCTACTCTATAATATAATAACTAATAAACTATTAAGGTACTTATAGAAGAAACACTTACTTTTAATATAAAGATAAAGTATATAAATATTTAAAAATATTAATTAAGGAAGGAGATTATTAAAAAGATATTTAATATTAAATATTTAGAGACGAAATCGATACTAATAAATAAATTAATGAAAATACCAAGGATTTTGGAATATAAGAGATTTAAGGAGTTGCTGGGTATAGCCGAAGTACTGCCGTAGAAGGATAGCGGAGGAGAGGATAATCCGGTACCGAAGAAGGTTAATTTCGATGATTTGGATGAAATATTAGGATTAAAAATATGAAAAGACGAGAGCAATGTATAAATAGCTTCACTTTTGACCTCAAAGAAGTAATTAGAGGTCTATAAGTGAGGGAGTGTGTTAGATATTAGGGTAGTATTCTACCCAGATATAGGTTAAATGCCAGAGTCCCAGCTACCTGATTTACAGGTCTTGGCAAATATAGGTTACCTCCAGAACCCCCAGACCTTCTGGAGCAGAGCGCTCGAATCAGTCACACAGAATCAATCAACCAGATCACACCAGTAAATCTGACAATTCTCAGCAATGTTCTGGAAGGGTTTTGGAAGCCTTCATTTCTCCGGGTCAATGCGACCATCATCGAGGCCTGTCCCATGCTCGCCCGTGTCTCACTTGGCCGGGCGTCAACCAGCGTCACAAAATCGAAGGTGGCTTCAACGCCAGCCTCCATCACCCCGTCCGAGTATCCAACACGACTCCGTCGCACCCGTTGCCCTGTGTGCTCCGCCATTGACATTCGGGCCCGAAACCGAAGTTGAAGTCAAGAACATGCACGGCCACAAGATCGACATGGATCCGCAAAATCCTCCACTTGTTTCCGATGTGCGAGATTTGCGTGCTGGCTGCGGCTGTGATGTTTTCAATGTGTCCATAAAGAACACGCAAAAGACACACAATCATCAGTCATCACAATTCACAAGGGATTTGGAACCCCCATTTCCCGGTCTGGACTCCTGCCACCTCTGTTTGTCAAAGGCATACAAAGAGGTAGCGAGGTGCACCAGCGGATGCTACACGACCATTGACTAGGTAGGCTCAATACGCCCTACGTGTGATGTACTGTACCAAGGGGGTACATAGGCGATATACCTGAATGCGGAAGGCCAGAGAGCAGTATGGAGCCACTGAGACCCATGTGTAGTCGGCTCTATGGGGACCAAGGTGTGATCGCTTCCGTAAACAGAAGGAGGGGAGTTGAAAGAGAGTTTGTGAAAACTATGACATTGCATGTGGCCAGAAGAGTTCTTTTCCTCTCCTTGCAAAATTTGCATGTGCTTGTTGGCCTGAAACCTACCCAACGGCACATCCACATTGCAAGTCCGACTTTGATGGCCTACCGCCGAGCCGTCCGTCGACTTAAACTACATACAGGCTAAAGAGACCAACCGACGCACTACCGATATGCTACATTGACAGGAGGGGATCTGAGGAAGCGATGCGGCTCAATGCGACGTCCTTATGCTTGACCTCCTCCGTCCCGGCCCACGGGCTCCGTCTCGGGGCATGTTTCACGGAGCCGGACTGCACCTCGGTACCCGATGGGCCTACCAGATTCGGTACTTGGATATCAAATCCTGAAGCCATTTTGCCATGCGGAATGCATCGGTTCTGGAATGGCTCTGAAAATCTGGCCGATGGCGGTTAACCGACTGCCAAATCGAGTTTGATATCGGATAGCTCCAGTCTGGTTCATGTCTGCCGGCCATGAACGAATCAGTACTTGGCTGCAATTACGGCCAATTTGTTCTAGAAGGCAGGTGCTTCCGACGCGCCAGACAGCTGCCGTCACCGACGTCGTCCGTGCCAGAATTCGCGGTTCCTTCCACCTACATATATGTACATACATAGGTACATACATTGGTCGAGTCCCTCCGAGATTTGTTCCGTTCCGTTTGATTTTGCCTTTCTGCCCCTGCCGTTCATACCAACACACACCAAACATTGACTTTTCATCATCAGGACAACATCCTTGGAATTCCAACAGCCCATCATTCACACGTCCCCAGGCCAGCGACGAATGCCGAAGAAGAACGCGAGACACAATTGAGGCGTCTTCCATGGCACAAACATCGATGATCGCTACGACGTCCAAGGTTGGCACTCTTCGAGCCCTTCAGGGAAAGAAACACGTTAGCAATGCCAATGTTGGTCCACTGGTCTTCTAGAAGCGAAGCTAAAAGTGTGGATAGAGGCAATCGCCAATGGTTGCGTCGACCGAGCCTCCATTCAGTTCTCGGCTTGGTGGAGGGCCTACGGGGGCCCACCGTCCCACACTTTGGCCGAAGACATCCCAGCCCCATGCACGTTATGCTCCAGAAGCGTTCGCAGTGGTTCGTCCGTCTTCACCCCTCCACTCTTGAGCACTCCGTGTAAATGGACGCACAGTGCACTCGGACATGATTCCTGGTTACCATGGTTAGCTGCTACGCGATTGGACCTCACCACATGTGAAACTCCGTCCGTGTTCTTCGGCCCCGCAGCTTCTCAATCATGAGCGAGTCAGGCAATGGACAACGAGTTCACGATGGCACGACAACAACACAAGACGAACGAGGCGGACGACAAAACGGCAACCGCCAATGCATACACCCGTTCGGTTGATATTCAGGTCAGTGTCTACTTACATATCTCAATGCGTATACTTCGTCGAGACATTATGCTGACAGTTGTGGAAATCTACAGGCCAAAGGTTTGTCGACATCTTCCTTGATCCCGCCACAAGCAAAACCACGCCGGCGTCCTGCCCAGCCCTGCCCAGCCCGACATTCGGGCTTCGGCCGATTTACCACGTGGAACTCGGTCCTTGGATTACAAACCTCCCAGGAAGCGAACGAATTGGCGGAAACAAGCAGGCATCTAGGCACAAACTTCCTCGGAGACTTGCCATCCACATTCACTTCGGTATCGATACTTGCGAGAACATCCTGACTGTCGAACAACCAGTTGCACCCGCTAAACCTTTTAGGAACCGTATCCGTGACAGGTACTCCTTCTTCGGCCGAGCTGAACACGGATGGATGCCTGTGCATACTCGCCATCTTATTGTTCACTGTTTCCCGGTCGTGGGCCATCAAGGTGCACATATGTCAGCATCGTCAGGGCGAGGTGGGCGTACATGCGTCCTTGAACTCTATGCAAACGCTTCTAGGGGTTCTGCGGTCACAGTGGACTTCTTGGGTTACGGATGAATGCGTTATTGAGTCGCCGACCTTCGGGTACCATGTCCCTGCAAGGCTATCTCCGTTCATCTTGAAGATGGGAATGATCCTCTTGGCAAAACATCCAAAAGACTTCCCAGCGTTTTGGTTTGGAGCCACGAGAACAGCACCCTTCGACTTGGCTGGGAGTCCCGAGTGGACATGAGGAGAGGTCTGCGAACAGACTCTCATACGATTAAACAGAGTGCGTACACCCGGGTGGCTTCTTTCACACATTCATCTCCGTCGCTTTATGATCCTTCGATGTCGGCTCTTCCTACCTACTGAAGCAGAAGTTCATCTTCTTGAGGAATCTCGGCAAGGTAAACCAGCTTTCCTTGCAAGCACCCCTCCGTGCGCACAAACCCCCTTTTCAACACGCGAAGTCTCGTTTTCATCATCAGCTTCCAGGACCTACCACCACTTTCGGACACACCTAGGCTTCGTTCGATTCTCTAGCCGAGACAGCTTATCCATGATGTCGTGGTTGTTGCCAGGGCTGGAACACATGGCTCTACGTAAGCTGCCAAAGATCGGACCGTACCCACGCACCATCGCAAATGCGTCGATTTTGAGGTGGAGAGAGTCCCGACAGACAGGTTTGCCGTTAAAACACCCTGCTCTACCAACCCCATCCCTTTAACGGTGAAAAGTTGACATTTTAGCGCGCCCCGCAAGATACCTGGAGGACTTGGTGACGTGGCTCGTCAGCTAAGCACTCCGCCTACATTGCTAGTAAACGCTACCAAGGCTGGGGTTTCCGAGATCTTTGCAGGCTCAAGAGGTATCCTGCAGGAAAATGGGAACCACCGATTTGCTCAAACTTGCAGGACGCTA